ACTGTTAGCACCCTCGGCTGCCAACTCTTCTTGGTCCAGTGATTTTGTCGGTCTCGACTGTCCCATAGACACAGAAAACAAGGGTATTTGGTATACCCAGCTTGTTGCCCGAGCAGCATGCACAAGACCTTCAAGTCCCCACACACTTGCCAGCCATGGTCTTCATATTTAAGTATACGAAGAACCAATTCCAAGTTCTCGTAGGTTTCCTTCAAGTGTACGGAATGACCTACAGGTATGGAAGCGTAAAAACCGTTGTGGAGTAAAACTGCTTTGAGACTTCTTTTTGAAGAATCTATAAAAAGACGCCATTGCTCTGAATCATATTGGACTTTAAATTGAGCCATCAGACCTACGACATCGATGCAATAAACCAACTTGTCTTCCTGGGCGAAGTAAGGAACGAACTCCTTTTCATGATGTCTGAACCATGAAGATGACACTCCTGGCAACAATAAATTCCTGCTTTTCAGCCTTGATCCGAGTAACTCAGCGGCATCTTTGGGAAGGTTCAAGTCTCTTACCAAATCATTTATCTCCTCCTGAGAAAACAATGTTGGTCTTGTATCATCTTCAAAGTCAGAACTTGATTCGTCATCTGGTTCAGGTATGACTTTACCTTCATCGGAGCTAGGTATCTCTTCCAAGGTAGCAGGGGGCTTGGGTACTGGTATATCTGTGCCATGGGGGATGGGACGAATTGGTGAGTGAAGATTGGGGTATGAAATGGAATGCTTCCATTTGGAATTAAACCCTTTCACATCGCATGAACAAAAGTAATAGTCATCACTATGGTTCTTTTGCTCTCGCCATACCATAGGAATTATAAAAGTTTTCTTTGCAGAGAGCCATTTATCTACCTTAAAAAAAAAAAAAGACCAAAACTGAATCTTAGGACGTGGGAGAAGTAATTTGTATGTATGCATTTCTCTTTCTCATCTACTGAGAAACACAGGGAGTCTTTCACCTTTGGGTTATACTGCTGTCGACACTGGGCATCAGAGTCTGACACTCTCATACCCTTGGCAGGCCATCTGGTCCAGATCCAGTTGGACAATGTCACAGAGCTGCCATGTCGCTACCATCAAGGAGGATCAGGATATCTTGCTGCACTCATCTTAAGTGCAGTCTGTTGGAGGTCAGGTTTCCCCAACTGGTTGCTTCTGTACATGGAAGAGCAGTCCATACACCTGTGAGTGTTCAAAGATCTGCATTGCAGGTGGAGGATGTAGGATGGGGGCCTCATGATATCCTGGTTCAACAGCATTCTGAACAAGTTCGTCTTCAGGTGCAGGAATCCTCTAGATGTAGCAGGCATGGTTCTAATGACTCACTGGGATCGACACACCTAGATCTAAGACTCTCATCTTTATTTGCTATGTAGACTCGAGTAATGGTTCTCTGGTAATCTTCCTTGCTCTTAATTGACCCAGCCAAATGTTCTTCGATACCCTGGTAAGACTCCTGACTGTTACTTCACATCGAGGGATCTGGAAAGTCTGGAGCATCTCTATACCTGTGATGCCCAAGGATAGGCAAAATATTACAGCAAGGTTTCCTTTAGCACTTTGCCCTAGGGGTGTTTTTCCCTTCCTTGCACATAGGTGTGATCTGAGCTGGTCCCCAGCTCTATCATGTCTGCATTTTTCCTCACTTTTTTTGGTGTAGTGATTAACCTTCTACCTCTGTGCTTAATTTTTGTATGGGGGTTCCAATGTTACTTACCCCATTACCATTTGTGTCTCTGCCAGATCAAACCTTGGTTTTCTGTGCATTCTCCAGAACGTCTGCCCTGACAACTAATTCAGGCATTCTCTTGGACCTATAATGGGAGTTTAAGGCCCAGTTCCTTCTTCTGACCTAGGATGGCTCTGATTTTCCATCAACCAGGAGATCATTCTCTGGTCCCTCTGTCCAGCCTGAGCTCTCTCAGAGGAGGTCTTTTTTTGACCACGGTTAAGGCCGTGAGACTTTCTCTCTCTCAGCTTTGACTTCTGATTGGTCATTCCAGAGAGTCCCTGTAGGGAATTTGTTTTACCCTTTTGGATGAATCCGGTAGACCAAGCATATGGTCTTACAGATCGGTGTTCTCCTTCCCTGTTAGATATTCCTTATCTCAGATTGAAATATCCTAGTTAGTTTTGACAAGCATTTGCTCCAATGTACATTTGTTATTCCTCTTCGATGTGCTATTGTCTAAGTTCTAATTTTTCTAAGCTTCGGGTTTTTTGTGACTAATTACTTTTAGCTAAGTGCCCATTAATGTTTCAAAGTAATATGGCAAAAAAAGAAAACTAAAAACCACAGTATATAAAAGAAACGAAAACGAAGACTGTAATTTAAATTCATAATTGACTTTTAATCTATAACTTTCTATACACATAGTTGTTACGCCTTACCTATTCAATTATAATATTAGAGGGGGCTGTTTACCGGTCGCCACTTCATCAGCGCCGGGCCCCATGTCTGAAACCTCTAGCTGTGCCAAATTACACTCCGTGTGTTTCTGTTATTTCCATTCTTCTCCTCCCAGTCTGCTGCAAATAAAGATGCCATTACTGATTTTGTTTGCTATAATTAATAAACAGTGTGATTGCTGCTCTGCACAGGATTTTTGTTTCTTCAGTCTCAACACAAATTATTAGCAGCGGTAATATGAAAATCTGCCTTGATGGACAACAGGAAAGCAAAAGCCTGATCTCTTGTTCCTGGTGTGAGCATCTTTTATATTGTATAGTGTACATTAAAGGTCAGAATAAACAAAAACCCTTGTTTTCACTTTTGCTAGCTGTGGGGTAGTTTAATTAAAGGGGAATCAACATACAGGATCCCTCCCACCTAACTCCATTTTCAGCTTTGGATAGAAGTTGGCAGGTTTAGTGCCCAGCTGTTCATCTTACTGATGCATACCCTGATGCCGTAATGTACAGCATACTTGCACATTATGACACACTTACCTTTGGGTGCAGGGCCGTCTTTACCGCAGGGGAAATGGGTCAGGTGCCCCGGGCCCTATAATTTACAGGGGCCCACAACAGCTTCCCTTTTCCCTTGCTGGGGGCCAGCAGCAGACAGAGAAAGAGCTGCAGCAGCGCACGTAGGGAGAGAGAACGGCCGTTCATCCTCTGTAGCAGCCGGCCTCTGTTAAGAGACCGGCCAGCCGTCCGTGCGTGTCTCCTGCTGTGATCTCCTCCCCGATGCCTGTCACAGAGATCCGGCAGACACGAAGGAGAAGGAGGGGGTGGGTACAGCCAGACAGCACAACTTTAAAGGTAATTCTGAAACTAAAAAAAATGTTAACATTCATTATCTGTATATGCATTTATGTCTTTAGCTGTACATGGACAGTACATCTTAGGACTTGCACACATGTACTCTCCATGTACTGTCTGGGAGCAGGACTGGGGAGGAACAACCTGGCTTGTGTTGCATTTACAGGCATTTCACTAAACACTTCCTGCAAAGATTATTCAGTCCATGTGGTTGGTGATATGCTATGTACAGTAATTGCAATACAAATTTTACTAATATATCCATGTTCTGTACTACATGTAAATCATACCATAAGATTTAAATTATAAGTCTTATTGTATGATTTATCAAGAAGTATAGAACACATGTAGCACTATGTGGTTATATTAGTGAAATCGGTATTACATTTACATTGCATGTCCCCGCACACTTCTACGTATTATCTATCTATCTATCTATCTATCTATACATACATACATAGATAGAGGTATATGTTGAAAATGTAAACCATGTAGCTATTGTTTGGGGACATGCAATGTAAATGTAATACCGATTTTACTAATATAACCACATAGTGCTACATGTGTTCTATACTACTTGATAAATCCTACAATAAGAATTTTAATTTAAATCTTATGGCATGATTTAACAAGTAGTTCAGAGCAAATGTGCCAGTACATGTGGGGCAGGAGGCGACGTGGCGGTCCATTGAAGTGAATGGCACTGTAGCCATGCCCTCTGGTCGCAATGCGATCGGCCACACGGGAACGCAAGGCACATCAATGCCTGCAGTCCGGTGCAAACAACATAGTGCTTGCAGCATTCACTCCTGCCCCACAACATAGTGAGCCGGCCCTAATGCAGTGCGTTCCGGCCAGAATGCACCGTGTCTGGTGTGAACGAGGCCTTATTGTGTTGCATAGTCCTGAGTCAATTGTATTAGTGCATTGACCTGTCCATCAGAAAAATCTTGCCCAGGGCCCACTTCATTTTAAAGACGGCCCTGTTTGGGTGTACACTCCTGCAACATAGCAGTGTCTGAATCTTCCTGCCTTCACTCCATTGCCTACGTTGGCATCTTCTTATCCTCTTCTTTTAGGTCCAGCATCTTCTTGCTTCAGCCATAAGGTGACCACAGATAATGATGATGTAACTCCTGTGCATTTGCACTAGAGTTACATTATCTCGGCACCTGGCCACATTCACAGCAACTTTCAGGTGTCTGGAAAAGGGTTTGAATTGTACACTGTAATGCATGTTTGCTGCAGGCAATGTACAGATAACAGGAATTTTCTCTAACAGCTGGCAAATTTTTGTTTACCAAGTTTAGTTCTTTTTTAACAGAGTTGTAGACTTGACGTTCCCTTCAAGGGCAAAGATTCACTTTAATTCCCCCTTCCAAGCTTCAAATACTTATCTTTCCTTTGCTCTTTCACACAACCGCATTATCCAGATCCCTACGATTTAGTGCCTACATGGCTCAGCAGCCACCATTGGGACTCTGCAAAGTGTGCCAGCAGTGCAATGACTTAACAGCAATTTGTAGTGCAGCCGCACTTCTTGTAGCTTCATAACAGAAGGTCTGTACCTCTATACAAACTTGAGGCTGGGGGATAACATTAAAAGATCTTATGCATTGCATATTTTATTAGCACAATGGGGTCCTAGTGTCACTATTTAGAAGAAGAGATCCATTTTTCATTGATAACTTAAAACTAACATAACAGCTGACTCTTCCTCTTTTTCAGACATGCAAGAAAACACTTTAGTCAAGCGGAAGGAAGCCAGTTGGATGAAGTTCGACAAGTGATGGGGATGTTGGCCTTCCCTTCAGACACCCACATTTCACCTTATAAGGTAAGAATGGTCAAACTAGAGACCTGTATAGATCTAACCCAATCAAGACTGTGTCTTACTCTTAATGTTCCCCTAGACTTTCACCCCAAAAGTAAACAATAAATGATCTGAAATCACTGACTGGTCAGCCCTTTCTCCTACTCTTCTGTGGTTATCTATGGTCTGACAGAAGCAGAACCAACAATAATTAACGAAAACAACTTTTTGACATGTGACTTTGCCTTATAATTGGCCAAACATCCTTTACAGTGACTTGGAGGTGAGCAGTATGTTGGTAAAAATCCTTCCATCAACTGTGGTGACTGGTAGTATGATGACAGATCTGACTAAGACTGTGGTCATCCATTGTGACATTAGTTACAAAGGTAACATTCCTTTCATCTTTTGCCAAACTTTTGAATCTGGTCTTCTGGCAGATGTTTGCTCTACCTCTGGTTGACCAGTGGTGGAGCACTGATCAGGTCTGTCAATGAAACAAACTTTGAAAGAGTAAATTATTGGAACACTTTTAGTATATACTGTACTAGAAATTAAGGCCGTTGCGTTAATGTGCTTATTACTTTATTGTCAATGGTACTTCAGTGCACTAAAGCAATGCAAGGCATGGTGATGTCCTACCATGTTTCGTGGTTTGCTAAAAAAGAGTCAGAAAGGGGTCAAAAAGGGCTAGGGTGCGTTGCCCATTAACACACCACAAAGGTGTTAATCCAGCCTTACCAATTAAACAGAGTCTAGCATGGTCTGTTTCGCAGCCCTTAAACGATAGGTCGCGCCTTACTTTTCTGCATTTCCTGTCCCATTTAGTGATTAATGAGGCTGCTGTCAATTTAAGTTTTTGCAATAGCAACCAGATGAAGGGACAGGGCCGTGTCAAGTTTAGTTCCTGAAGTCGGTGTTTGAAATATAAAGAGGTTCTAAACTTCTATGATTTCCCATTTTGTTTTCAGAAACGTTTTTGTGCAGAGCATAGATAGGGTCACTTGTTTTAATTTGTCATTTTTCCATACTATAACCAAATTGTTTCCTCTCCACATAGGACCTTTTGGACCCAGCTCGATGGCGCATGCTCATCCAACAGTTTCGATATGACAACTATAGACTACATCAGCTGGGAAATAATTCTGTGTTTACTATAACTCTTCAGGCAGGCCTTTCTGCTATTAAAACACCGTATCCTTTTATTACATTATGGTGATATCTCTCACCACCTCTGAACAATCTGGATATTTCAGCACATCAAACGTATTTATTGAAAAGTGGGATTTCCATTTTTTTGTTTCCTCTAATTTGCTACTACTACTTATTGCTGCCAGCAGAATCTACTTTGGGAGTAGATACGAGACAAAAATACTTGTTGATTGTATTCCACTGAATATAGATAGAACATTGAGATAAAAGCATTGAATATAGATAGAACAAGACAAGAAATAATGGCGCACCTTCATAGGGTTGCGGTATTTTCTTCCAGGAAGGATTACAGCCTCTGCTCCTTAACACAGAGGTGCGTTAGTGGAGTGATTTGAACATTTTATGGCTCTATGTGAGGTGTTAGTTTCATTAGGAAAATAAACATTTGAAAGACCTTTTATGTCCTCCGTACTCTAGATTACATGTGTGAAGGAGGCACTCTACCCAATTGTTACATTGATTAGCAATCACTCAGGCGGAATAGCTTCAAGAAGTAGGTTTATTCAGCTGGCCAGCCAGGAACATGCAGCAATTCCGGCACGTTTAAATAATATGGGCTCACAGGCCCCTTTTTATAGGGATTTAAACAATGAAACCAGCTGTGTTACCTTGAATTATCTCCAAAAATAGATAGTATTGTAACCCTGTACTAATATTTGATTGTGTTACGAACAGCCTTCTTGTCTTTATAAGACTCCCTTACAGCGAGATTAGAAGACAGCTGTCTTGGCATTAGAACTATTGTTCCTTAAGCCAAGGTAAAAAAAACATTTTTATGATTTTTTTTAGTCTCTGATGAACCTTTGTTACCTCAACCTATAATGTCTATACACAGTAAGATCAGTTAGGGTCTGGAACTCACTGCCACAGGCGTTGATTTCAGCAAATAATGTGGAATTGTTCAAGAAACTTTTGGACGATTTCTTAAGGGACCGTAATATACAGGGGTACAGGTAATATACAGGGGTACAGGTACTCCTAGAATGAGATCCTAATAGGTTGGACTTGATGGACTAATGTCTTTATTCAACCTCAAATACTATGTAACTATGTCTAAATGTTCTATATGAACTCTAGTTACCTGCATCTACAACGTTTATTGTCCTACATGTTGCTTATTCACATAACTCATTATCTACAGTATATATTATATGTATACATGATGTTTCCACTATATATTTGTGTACTATATAAATGCAGACTTGCGTATAAAGCACATTTTATAATATGTTAAGAAAGCTATTGAGCTAATTAACATAATAGAAGCTTTACATTGTGATTCAGCAGGGATCAACCATTTTCCCTATACACATGGATAAAGACTGTTACAGGCATATCAAGCTAGAATGAAGCCCCAGAGTTGGACTGGAGTAGTTTAAAAATGTAACACCTGGTGTATGTACCAATGAGTACAGCAATCCAGTCATTAAAAAATAAATGATCTTGTGAGTGGGCTGCTTATCCTCCATAATCCTTTTGGCATGGTGCAAAAAAATCCCTTTGTCTTTATTATTATATAATTATTTATTAATTTCAGACAACAATCCAAATTTCTCACATTTTACATAGCTGACAAACACGCAACAATAAAACAAGACAAAACATTACATTAATCCCTTCTAACCTCTATATTGTACCTGTTGTCCATAAACCAATCCATATATGCACAGGGCCACTCTCTCCAATTTCATCCCTTAAGGTGAGTGACTCCAATTATAATTACCTTTTGATATTGACTACCTTTTAATTGAATTACCAGTGTGCTGGAGGAAAGTACATTACAGTTCTTTAAGCTTCCTACTTTTAGATTTAATTATAATTTTATTGTCTTTAATTTTGTATTGTGGACTGCATTCATCCTTAACCACATTCAAAACAGTCAGTGCTACAAAGAAGATGGGACTTCTAAGAACGCAGATTGTCCAGTGTGCAGCAAATCCCTGAACAAGCTTGCCCAGCCTCTTCCAATGGCACATTGTGCCAACTCCAGACTGGTGTGCAAGATTTCAGGAGATGTCATGAATGAAAACAACCCTCCCATGATGCTACCTAATGGATATGTGTATGGATACAATGTAAGTACTGTATGGTCCTTTGGTGTGAACAGTGTTGTGCTTGGCCACCCAGACAAAGAAAGCAAGTTTGCAAATAAAATCTTTTTCCTCCCTCCTTTTCCACCGAGAGCTGTATTCAGATGTGTAAACATTTTGCCATGTCAGATTTTCCATGTGATTTCTAATAACCTCTGCACACATCTTCATACACAGGGACTGCACACTCTGCACACATCTTCATTTCAGAGAAGGGATAGCTGGACTCTCGTAAGATGTTCACATTGCTTAGCTTATGGCTCCTAGTTCACAGTCTTCTGTGAATACTATGTACTAATCCTTTCTACTAGGGATGCACCGGTATTTCGGTATCGAGTATGAGTACCGATATTTTTTTCTCTGTACTCGCCGATAACGAATATCAATACCGGAAGTCCCATTAAGGAGTTTCCTGATTAGCCAGGCGGTGTGTAATGATTTGCCACCCGGCTTCCCGGTTAGCAAGAGGCCGTCCCCATGCTTCTTGTCACTGCATTGGTCAAGGCATTGACACTGGTTGGACAGCATTGGTCAAGGAAAGTCAGGAACCAGTAACAAAGTGAATCTAGAGGAAGTGGAGAGAGATACAGAAGGGGCTTTTCTGATTAGTACAGGCATGTTGTGATGGTTGATCTAAGGCAAGACTTTTTAGATTTAAAATGTTTAAAGGAGAAGTATGAGGTGAGGGAAAATCACTCATCCTCATAGTTCGAGCTGACGTGTGACAATGAAAGTGTCACAGGTCGGCTCAATAGATCGGGAAGTGAGCGAACACATACCGCTGCTCGCTCACTTCTTGATCCTGTCCCTGCAGAGAGCCGTGACTGCCACTCACGGCTCCATGCAGGGATTCCCCCGCTCCAATCCTCCAGCGCTGACTGACGGGGGAGGGGGCGGGTACAGCTGGCTCTGCCTCAAGATAGGCAGAGCCAGCTGTCAATCACGCAGCTGGGCGGATCTCGACAGTAATGTCGGGATTCGTGCCGGCTGCGGCAGTCTCAGTATACCGCGAGCTGTAGCTCACGATATACTGAGCCTTGGGTAACAGGAGGGCGCTAGTTTGTGTCCTCCCGTGACCATTAGGAGAACTATGGGTAAAAATACTTACCCCATAGTTCTCCTTTAACATTAAGTAGGGTTCTTTTTTTGCCTAGGCTTTCACTTTGAGTTCTGGTAGACTTTTTTAAAATGAGTCAGTTTCCATTTTGGAGTAGTGTTATTTTAAAACAACAGAACTTTCTTACTCCCTATGTTTTCCCTCTACAGTCTCTTCTTTCTATTCGCCAAGATGACAAAGTGATTTGTCCAAGAACCAAAGAGGTCTTCAACTTCTCGCAAGCAGAGAAGGTCTACATCATGTAGAGCTGTCCCCTTGTGCCTCCAGAGCCTGCTGAAGACGAGACGGCAGCACCACACGCACAACTTGCATTCGCTGGTTGCATTTGTTGTCTTTTGCAGCCAAAGATTCTAAACAAGTTACAATCAATACTTCAAGACAAAGTTACATCTTAAACAACAGAAGTGCAAAAACATAAGGAGAAAAAAAAATTGTACTTTAGGAATATAAAACCTTTTTTTGATTCTGAGCATTTTTTTTGTAACGTACAGTCAAGACGGATGCTTCGGAAGAGTTCATTTGTTTGAGTTAGTTACTTTTCCGGCCCTTCATGGAGATGCAGCGTTTGGCTGCTCCATCAAGTAGTAAAGCCTTGCATTATTTCTTTGTGCAAGTCTCGGGATCTTATCATCCCTATTGCTGCCTTACTCCTAGCTTTCAGAATGTACACCCCATGGACACGCATACCACGGACTGTTCTGTGTTGGTTTTCTACAGTTACCAGGAAAAATCCGAAAGGGGTTTTCCACTTTATTCTAAAAAGTAGACTTCTGCTTTAAAAGGGAAATCTGTTTTAAGCCGTAGCTTTTAACCTGTTACCAATACTTCTTATATTAACAGAGAGTAGACTCCTCCTTAGCTTCTTGATCTTACTAGGACCAACCCTTTCACCCACGTAATCTAAACTTGCATTGCAGCCTTGCAAATACCGGTACTTCAGTCCACCAAGGGCCATCTATGGGCTCTGCAGTCTGAGGACCCGCCATGTTAGTATATGTAAGATTTAAAAACAGCTAAGAGGTTTTGGTAATTCCATTTAACTGTGAAACAATCCTGCTTTTCTGCACTACATATGTACACTCCTTCATTGTTTGACAAGATCACAATCTTCTGCTAAAACCTGGTAGAACACGTTGTCCATTGCAGCTTGAAGGGTCACGAAACCTAGATATTTTATAGTATAGTAGAAGTTTTGTGACAAATCTTGGATCATTCTCTTTTTCATGAGGGAAAGGGTCCGTCATCAGGAAAACAGTGTTACTACAAAGTGTAAATGACTGCCTTGGGTTGTACAGTGTACAGCCATTGTTTTTTATGACAAGCCATTGGCTGACTACAGCTGGTCTCAAGTTGACCATAGGCTTTGGGCTCTGGCAATGAAAAACACAGCACATTTGTCTTGGACTAGCTTGCAGGCATCTGTGGAGCCATTCTTTTTTGGGAAATTGGCAAGCAAGAAATGGCTGGATGACTTTCCTTTCCCAGAGAACGTCTGGCCAAGGTTTCTGCTAAAGCTGTAAGGTGCCTTATCTGCAGGATTGGACAACAGTCCACAGGTACCATTAGGCCCGGTTCACACTTGGGCGTTTTGTAGCGCGTTCCTACGCTCTGCAAAACGCTCAAACACCGAAATCCCATTATTTCCTATGGGTATGGTTCACACCTGGGCGTATTACAGGCCGTATGAACGCGCTACAAAACGCCCTACGCCCAAAGAAGTACAGGAGCTTCTTTGAGGCGTTTTTGTTGCGCGTTTCCATTGGGATACAGTCAAGTAGCGGTTTTTTTTACCGCGAATCGCGCGACACAAGCGCATATTCCATACGCCTAGGTGTGAACCCAGCCTTAGTCCATGAGGCTATTATAAACAACAGGTGGTATATCCCGCTGTTGCTTACAAGCACTGTGTAACATGACCCTCTTGTACTTTGCAGAGAGGAGCCTAAAGCAGAGGTCCACACACAGGGAAAAGTGGAAACTTCCTTTTATATTTTAGCCATGACACAAGGTAATTAGCCACGGTTGGTTCTGTTCTAGTAGCGCAAGATTCTTCTTCATAAACTCTCCGGCAACAACCACAAACATTTTAGTCCTTTACAGTCTTTAAGAGATAGTGCTGTAGAAATTTGTATTTAGTGCTTATTTTTTGCATGTTGGTGTTCATTAGCTAATAAAAAGAAAATATTGTAAATTTGAAATCCGCTTGTAAATTGCTGTTTTTATTTCTTTTACGTGTGCGAGTAATATTTAGAAGGAACGCAGTGATAGTTTGGAGCGTTGCCAAGTTTATAATTGCAGTTTGGGTAAAATATCACATAAAATATTTCTACCGCATACCATTAGAGCTGAAGCATCATAACGTGTGTATGGGACAGCGATAGAAACTGCAGAAGAAAAGTCACATAGATGTGAAGAGGAATTCGGGGGACACAACCTTCCTTATGACTGCCTATAATTTTTTATCTTGGTCACATGGCTGCCTTAAATCACTGTCGTCAATAAGATTTTCTGAAGAGCCCTGAATATGAACATATTAGCATAAGAGGAAGTTTGGACAGAATTGTGACGCAAGAAGATACATTACAGTTCAGAAGCCCTTTGAGAAACCTTCTTATTGAAAGCAGCAAAAGTCACCGGGAGTCTGTTTAAACAGCCCCGATGCTGGTGACGTACACTGTACGTCGTCAGTCACGAAGGGGTTAATATTGGTAAAGCTAAATGTCCCTGAGTATATTATGACCCACGACCCCCATGGCATTGCCTTGCTCTAACACCGCCTATAAGCACACCTTGATGATATTAATCTTGAATTGGAAAAAATTATTTCTCACCAATTCACACTATGTGGCAAGAGGTTTGTGGACCTACCTACTGTATATGGTCAAATGTATGTGGACCCTCCTCCAAATTATTGAGTTCAGATATTCCAGTGTAGTGTACCATTGATACTAGAGGATCACCGACATAGAAATGTAAAAACCGAAATAGAAAAAATTGTCAGGCCGAAAACCGATACCGAAAATGTTTTTATTTTACATTTTTTAAATATTTTATTTTTTAAAAACTTTTTAAAAAAATTATTTATTCATTTTTTATTAAATATTCTAATTTTGATTTTACTTTTAGGGGCTTCGGGAAAATATTAGGGGTCTAAAACCCTGATCGTTCCCTTTTAAAATAGAAAAAGAGATTGAGAACAGAAAGTCCTCAGAGAACACAGAGTCCTCAATCACTTTTTCTGTCTCCCCTGTTATCAATGACCAGGAATCCTCTATACTGAGTGTTCCTGTTCATTGATAACATGGTATGTTTACTATAACCCATAATCATGAATGAACAGGAGTGGATATAGATCACTCCCATTCATTCATAATTGAGGATATATTAACCATACCATGTCCTCAATTATGAACAATACACTCAGCAATCACTGATCACTGAGTGTTTGTAGCCTGCTCTCCTCTCTGACACGCTGAGTGAGGAGGCTGAGTGAGCGGTGCCAGAGGAGAGCCCCGCCTCCCGTGACAGCGCTGTCTCCGCCCACACACCGCTCTGCCGCACTGTGATAGGCGGCCGAGCGGTGTGGGAGGAGAGATGCCAGCCGCTCAGAGCGCTCTCCTCCCGCTTTGCTCGGCCGGCTGTCACTTTCTCTCCTCCCCGCTGGGACACAGAGCAGTGCCCAGCAGGGAGGAAAGAAATCACGGATGCGCCGAAGTATCGGCAGGAAAATTGCACTTTCAGCATTTAGCCAAAAGTGCCATTTTCGGCCGATGTGTTTTGGTGCATCCCTAATTAATACTACAGTATACAAAGACATTTTAGACAATTGTGTGCTCCCAGCTTTGTAGCATCCGTTTGGAGCCATTGTATCTTCTTTCATGTGCATGTATCCAGGTCTATAAAAACATGGTTTGCTGTGTTTAATGAAGAGGCACTCCAATGGACTGTACAGGGCCTTGACCTCAACACTATTGAACACCTTTAGGATGATATCGCTGCAAGCCGGGTCTTTTAATAAGACATCAGGACGTGAGCCCACAAATGCTTTTTGGGCCAAATGGGCACACATTCCCACAGACGTGCACCTCAAACTGTTGTGGAAAGAAAAGTAGAGGCTGTTATCATCAGAGAAAAGAAGGTGGAATCCATATTAATGGTTTTGGATTAGGATGTCCAACAAACTCATAAAGGTATGATTATTTGGTATGTACAAACATTTGTCCCTACAATGCAAGGGGACTGCCAAAGGCTTTATTAGCAAAGATTAATGGGATAAAGCAAGCAATTAAACATGTATGTTAAGCTTATATTTCCTCAAGAGAAGTAGCAGAACCCTACTGCTTGTGACAGTGTCTGGAAACCCTCCATCTAACTTCTGTGAAGCCTATCGGGACTCCTCAGCGGCATATCCTACCTACTTCTATCTTTGATCACGGGATTACACTGATAGTGTCATCAGGGGGTAGGGTCTAGAAGCAGGAATAGCTGCCTGCTTAAGGTTGGGCCTATCTGGCAGTCACACAGTGGAGTGCAATGTACTACAGTAGGGTATACACAGGACAAATTTTGGCCAGAATGGGTATTCATCCATCAACGCTCGTAAGCAATGATGGAGGAATCTGTTCTATTTTATTGTTCAGCCCGCAAGTTGAATGAAAACAATAGAAACATATACTTGACTTAAATAGTAGGACTAGACATAGCAGCAGATACAGAATGCTTACTGTCCTAGATCATTCACAACTGACTTGTTTCTTAAGGCTAAATAAGCATTTTGCTTCTGCCAGCAGTAAGATGATAAAAAAAAGGGTAATGTAAGGCTGAGAGAAGAAGCGTGGAGGTTGCCGTTGCTGACTTGTTCTTGTTGCCGGGGAATCAGTCTGACCCCCAAGCTTCAGTACGTGGAATCACTAAGCCTCATTCACACAGGCAGTTGCATACAGACCTATAAAGGATATTGCTTAAATGGTTTTAAATGGTATAGCTCACACTGTGTTAACCTCTGTTTAGGTTCATTCAGGTGCTTGTGTTAAGGTAAAATAGACATCTCTGTGTCCAGGGGCAGATTCAATACCCTGAACATGTCTTGAACACATGTTAAAGGAGAACTATGAGATAAGTGCTTTTCACTCACCTCATAGTTCTAGCCGACCTATGACAATGAGACTGTCACACGTCGGCTCAGTAGATCGGGAGGTGAGCGATCACATACCGGCATTCGCTCACCTCTCGATCCTGTCACGGCTCTCTGCCGTGACAGGGGAGGGGCTGGATTCCCCCCTCCCCGCTCCGATCCTCCAGCGCTGACTGGCGGAACGGACGGGGGAGGGGGCGCGTACAGCTGGCTCTGCCTCTAGATAGGCAGAGCCCGCTGTCACTCACGCAGCTGGGCGAATCCCGACATAATTGTTGGAATCTGCTTCAGCTGCGGCATCTCAGTATACTGCGGCGTCTCAGTATACCGCAAGCTACAGCTCGCGGTATACTGAGCTTAGGGTAACGGGAGGACGCTAGTTTGTGTCCTCCCGTTACCCTAAGGAGAACTATTGGGAAAAGCCTTAACCCCATAGTTCTCCTTTTAAAGCAAGTACATTTAAGCTCAGGAGAAATTGATCCAGGAAGCATAAAGTTTGCTACAACTTTCCAGATCAATTTCTCTGCCATTTGTTGGAGTTTCTTGCACAGCCTCACAGAGAAACACAAGCACACAGTCTGATATCCATGCTGCTCATGACTTGGAAAACACAGGAAGGAAGTCACAGCTTTATTCTCTATCTTATTAAAATACAACAGAGTATATAACAGAACTTATAAACACTGCCATCTAGTGATCGAAATTGTATACTGCAGGAGCTATTGCTATAAACCCAATAATGTGTATTCTAACATTTAAATAAAACAAATGCAGAAGGCTCGTGTGAATGTGGCCTAATCTGAAACAAGTGTGCAGTTTAGAGGTTCTGGCTTTTCTCCGACTTGTTCTGGATTATTGACTCAAATATCAGGCTAGGTTCACACAGGCGGTAAAAA